TATTTTTTGTCAATTGGATCAATTGGCTAATAGGCCAATTATATGTAGATTGGCAGAATTCAAGTGTAGAGTAAGAAAAGAACTTGATAGAACCGAGTAAAGCGATTGAGAAAGTACCATAGGTCCTTTCTCTTGTGACAAAAGGGTTGAGGTAACCAGATAACTTTCTCTATTTGGCTATTTATTATAACTATATGTAAATTTGTTATCTAGTGCATGAAATGGTTTAAATGAGCATTTTGTGTTATTGCATGGTTATTGCATGAAAATAAACTTTGACCGAATAAACAAGTGAAATCGTGTGATAGTAGTAATAATATGCATATATATGTATGTGTGTGTGTATGGGGGTAATTAGGAACTTATAATTGGGTCAAAAGCATGATCATAAGGGTAGAAGTTTACCCGTGTGGAGTGTAGTGAAAGACCATATGGCATCATTCTTTTGTTTCCGACGAGGTATAGTGTTAGAAAATTGTATCTCCTTAGTACCTATTGAGGTGCGGTGTTAAAGATTATTTTTTAGTACCTATTGAGGTACGGTGTTAAAAATTTGGACTCCTTAGTATCGATATGATGTGGTGTAGAATTAATGACACCCTTTGTGCGTATTAGGGGAAACCATGATCTAAAAGAAAGTGAGATAAAACACCTTTGGTTAGATAATTCTATCACTGAAGGTGAGCTCAAAGCAAATGAGAGTGTATTATTTTAAGGCAAGGCTATGGTTTCAAATTGAGGTACTTTGGGATGTTCGATATATAGTAATCGTGCTATATGTTAAAAAAATAGTGAATAGTGGTGAATATAGTTTTAAAAAATTGGTGAAATGATATATATATATATATATATCTACATATATTGATGAGATTGAAGTGCAACACCTGTTATATGTTTATTTCATTTGTATATTATATTATACTTATTTATGGTTACATGTGATAGTCAATAATAGAGAGTTATTTTATTACTGAGATTACTATTTCAACTTATGATTATATTTTTACAGATTAAGGTTAATTTTATCCTTCACCTATACACGAAAGATCAACATGGACCTTAAATTTAGCTTGGGATCATTTCTATCCTTCAACATAAAAATTCCTTTCTCCAGCACCC